ATTAACAGATTATAACACAGTCTACAGACCATTTATGGTACTGTGCAATCACAGATTTCTGCCAGTCTTTCCAAAGTCCAAACACCATAACTTAATGAAATGACTAAAAAACCAAACATTAATTAGAAAAGCGAGAGAGAGAGAGATATAAATTCCAGACCATATGTTTGTCGTAGAAGGGAAATCCCTGCATTTGACGAAGCGCATTGGTGGCAGACGATACATCCTCAAAGACAACCCACGCTTGCCCCTTGTGCTTTAGGGTTTTGAACGCCAAAACCTCCAATATCTTCCCAAACTGAGAAAACACCGCGTGAAGCGATTTCTTTAGCGCTGTTAACAGCAAATCAAATCAAGAGACGAAAAGTTAGGTCCACCAAACCACGAACCCTCTCCAATTTCCAGTAACAGGAAGGGGAAAAAAGGGCAAAAAATCGACAAGGTAAAAATACCATCGAGCTTGATTTTCTCATTAAGGTTATTAATGTAGATGGTGTTATTGGCAGGAAGCTCGGCGACTGCAGGTGTGCCCTCCGCCATGGATGCTGAGCTTTGAGCTGTTCTGCGAAGCGAAAAACTGAAATATCACTAGAGCTCTCTGGGTTGGGAGGTCCGATTCTGAATAGAGTGGTTTATGATTTTGGGGGGTTTTACTTACTGGGCTATAATGATGGGCATTCGTCTAGACTAAGTTTATGAACGGCCCAATTTTGTAGCTGGGTATTAGACGGCCCAAATTCTTAAACTGCATTGCATCTGCCAATTAATGGGTCATGAGCCCACTTATCTGCCAACAGTATTAGCCACTGCAGGTTACAAATCGGTGGGCCTTTTTGTTGCAATTCTGGCTATATTGCCAGAGTACATGTTTGATTTGAATAAGGCTGCAAACTTATCGAGCGGCTCGTGAGCGCTAGAATTAATGCTCGAGTTGAGATTGTGTAGTTCAATCGAGCAAACGAGGCGAGCCTCCAACATTATTTCAAGAGGTTCATAAAATCGACTTTTTATTTGCATAAATACTCCATATAGTTTAATTATCAATATTAGAATGCCAAGATCAAATTTGTCTATTTAGATTAAAAATAGTTCTTTATATTAAAACGTAGTTGTTATAATTTCGAGCTGAACTCGAGCCATGTAAACATCGAGTACATTTAACCATTGAATCGAGCTCGAGCAGTAAAGAAAAAAGTTCAATATACGCTCGACAAGGTCATGCTCAACTCGACTCGTTTGCTACCGTAGCTTGAACTTCAATGTCACAGTGTGGGCCCCAAAACCGTTTAATCAAATCGGATTTGGATAAGGATATTGTTTAAATAAAATTAATAATGCTACTTTAGAAAAATAAGTAAGGTTTGAAATAATAATTTTAATTTATATTTTTTTTATACAATATACCTTTTCTTAATTTTTAAGTTGGCGAATGCTGCAATTTTGTCACTTGTTTGTATTCCTACTACCATAAAACACACAGAATAGCCTATACTTCCAAAACTCTACCAGTAGATGGATTTATACATTACATTGACTAATCGTTAGACAATCTAATAGAAAGCTAGGGGTGTAAACAACTCGTTTACCAATGCATCAGTTAGAAAATACATTTTTTTTTTTTTTATTTACATTCTGCCAATACATTACAAATCACCCAGCAAAAGTTGGAATATAATTCTAAACTCGTCAACATAACAGCTAAAACATAACTAGTTTGTAAGAGCATCTCCAATGCAATTTTTGACATTATAAAAAGTCATCCATATCATCAACTTTTGAAAGTGTGTCTCTATTTTTTTTCTCCAATGCATCTTGTCATGAACTCTTTCATGATGAGGTGGATGTCATTTAATGTTGACAATGTTGAGCACACTTTCTAATATCTAACACCATGTTAAACATGATGACTCATCAATTTACTTTATATTTGTTTTAATTTTTTATTTTTTTTGTATCAATGAATTATTTAATTGGTCCACCTATACAAATAACTTTTTATCAAATTGATGCATTGGAGATACTAGTTTCATTAAAATTTTTAGTCTTTTAACATTATTCCAATATGGATTAACATTACAATCACTAATTGACATGTGTTAAAAATAATGGTCTTTCACACTTATAGCATTGGAGATGCTCTAATCTCATCAATATAACAAGAACAACCCGACAGTAAACAGGCTACATAATTAAGAAAAACTCAGTCTTCAATTTAAGAAATAGTTCAAGGTTTTTGCAAATTTAGTAAATCAAGCAATTTACTCAGCATTCAATTTACATAACATGTAAACATGCTACCATAATTGAGAAAAAACTCAGTCTTCTATTTAAGACAGAGGTCTTTGCAAATTTGTAAATCAAATCACATGCAATTTATAGGCTGGCTACCTAACTGNCAAAAAAAAAAAAAGAAAAAAAGAAGCAGCAGCAGAAGAAGAAGAAGTAAAACTACATTTTATGAAGCTGAACGTACCTCGGATCGAATATTTTCATTAACATATGACCCAATTACCATGTGTAACGTAAGAACTAAGAACGAAACAACCGAAAAAACTAATCAAGAATATTTCAAGTGAAGGCATTTGATAATTGATAACAGAATACATATACAAATCAATAAGATAGAATCAGATACAGAAATGTATCGATTTTCAGTGGAAGAGCCAAAAGATGAAAACTTTGACATCACCCCTAAGGCTTCAACATTTACAACAAATTATACTAAATCGACCAAACCAAAAGATTAGTCCTAAGTTTCACCCTTTTTGAAATTTCACCCAACGCATTGCAATTTAATGCACATACGCATTGAGGAAAAAGAAAGTGAAACTTTGTGAAGCTCAATGTAACGTATTATTGCTTGAGATGATCTAATTTCATTCATTAACACTTAACCCAACAATAGATATAAATCAATCAAGAAATTTCAAGTAAAGGCACTTGATCATTGGAAACAAAAACGCATTTACAGTTCAACAACATTGAACCCAACAACCGAAATAAATCAATCAAGAATATTTCAAGCAGAGGCACTTGATCATTGATAACCAAACACATACACAAATCAACAATAGAATGAGATACAGAAATTTACCAATTTTCAGGGGAAAGGCCAAAAGATGAAAACTTTGGCATAAACCCTAAATCGAAGAATCCAAAAGGTTACTCCTCCTAAGTTTCACCAATTCTGAATTTTCACCCAAATTATTGCAATTCAACCCACACCCGCACTGCGGACAAACGTAAAAATTATCGATCCCAAATTCAGCAGACGCAATCCCAACAGAAAATTCGAGGCTATCGCCCTTTCTCTTAACTTCAACAATGTTGAGCCACAGAAAAAGCACCTTAACGCTAACCCCAGATAGATCGGTTAACTTATCTCGATAGATGTAGCCGCTGATTTTCGATTTGTACCTGAGCTGGTAAGAGCCTTCGAGGGAGAAGCTGCAGGAGCCGTTGAGGTAGGCGTTGAATCTGCCGGAGGAAGGGTCGAGGTCGTAGCGATCGACGCCCTGAGGGAGGATGCCGGCGGGGAAATCGTACGATTGGAGGAGTTCGTACGCCGTGGGGAAGGCGGATCCGGCGGCGGAGGCGGCGAGTAGGAGGAGGGAGATGGCGATGGCGACAGCCGTTTGCCAATTTGGCGTCATTTTTGTTTTCTAAAAAAAAAAAGAAAATTTAGAATTTTGCCTTTTTTGCTACTTGTCGTTTGGTTTGGGATGTTCTTCAGGATAATTGGGCTGTTGAGCTGATTATATTTTGTTGAGTCCTTAACTAGTAGTCTAGCACCCATTAGTTAGTTTAATGTAATACCATATACTATATAATTATAATATTTGTGAAATTTGCAGGTTACAACTAAATATATAAAGTTATAAACGTTGAAGTTGTGGAGCAACCATCATCAAATTGGAAAGTGAAGTGATGCATGTAAATCAACTTTCGTGATTAAATTTTAATTGTGCAATTTAACCTTAATTTAAGCTCCACTAAACATGTAATTTATTTTATTTTTTGGTTGAGTGTGGTTGCAAATCTAGTCTTTTAACGTGCATTTTGCATGTTGGAAGCTCTGTCCTGTGTGTAGGTACTCTAATGTTACGGTTCAACAAAATGTTAAGCAATGAAGCTAATAAATTTATATCAAAAAGTGTGTTAAGGCTTTAAAACAAAATTCATACCTAAATTTATGAACTAGTATCTTCAGTGTTGTCCGAGTAAAATATTATTTTAAGAAGAAAATGAATTACATTTATATACAAAAATTATATTGTTGATTTAGTTACTTTTTTTAATATTTCATATCTATTTATTTTCTCCATTTCAGCTTGAGGACACTTCTTTAACTAACTTGTCAAGCTTTCGCATTGAGTTACAACTCTTTTAAGTTACACGTCTAACTCTAGCTCATATTTCCTATTCGCTCATCGAGATAACTCGTCTTGAGCTACTTACTCAACTCTCGACCATGAATTATTAAAATTAACAATATAAATGATATAACTATAGCTCGGCTAAATTCGAGTAGAACAAGTCGACCAATTGAGAAATGAGTTAGGTCGACTTATGGAGAACATATGTATAAGATATACTTGGTCTAGATGCTGGGCGACTTAAGTTGCTAAGTTACATTAACCTAACATGACGACCTACAAGACGACAAGGAGCCATGTAAGATATACTTGGCCTAGAGATCCAACTCATTAATACTCATTGAGACGAGACGACCTGATGAACTGCAACCTATTAACACTTGGTACGAACACCTTTGATCAAAAAACTTATGAGCACTTGAAACCTGAGTTGATGGAAACCTAATAAGAATAAAAGGAAACTAGTCAGGATGAGGATGAATCTATTGATTATATAAATAAGATCAAGATAAAAATGAACACTAAACAGATAAAGATCAATGTCCGACCAGTTGGGCAACTCTAGGCAGGCTGACAAAGGGCAGATGAGCAACTCAGTAAACTAATATTGGGTACCAAGGTGTTAAGGGAATGAAGAACAACTGAAACATTATTCTACACTTTCTGATATAAATACATCTACATACATGTCATTTCATCTTCTTCATCCCTTTAATAACTTGAGGTTTGGAGTGGTCACGTTCCCGACTCTCTGTTTTGCAAGTAATCAACTGTTATTGGACGATCGAATGTGTTTCTCAGCCGGTTCAACTTAAATCCACATTTGCAGCACATCAGTAGCTATAGCGCATAAGTAACTACACCATATCAAAGTATAATATCTAATTACGCGATTGCTTGATTTTTCCAACAATATCAATGGTATTTTTTAAAATACCAAAACAAATTGAAAGAAATAATGACCAACGAAATATTTTTGGGAGAAATAAGAAACAAGATAATATACATTATGGGCTGAACATCTGATCCGTTTCGATATTTTCCCAAGCCCAGATAATGGTCTAACGACCAAGATATATGACCCACAACGGCCCAAAACAGCAGCACCATTATAATCCCCGCACCCCCACAAAACCCTAGCTCATCGTCTATATCACTCGAATAAGAGAGTTGCAGCAAGCAGCACCCGCGCCGCCACCGCCACCGCCACCGGAGCCATGGTACGACACATTTTCTCAATCCAATCCACATTTTTCATTTCCCCTTTACCGTGCAGAGCTAACATCTTTCTCATTCATGTGTGGATTTCAATTGCAGGGTATCGATTTAGTCGCCGGAGGTAAGAGCAAGAAGACCAAGCGCACTGCACCTAAGTCCAATGATATCTACCTCAAACTCCTCGTCAAGGTCTCATTTTTTTCTTTTTCTCTTCAATTGACCTGTGAAAAGCGTTTTGAGATTGTGAACCGATTGATCTGATGATGTATGAGTTTTCTGAGTGCAGCTGTACCGGTTTCTGGTGAGGAGGACGGGGAGCAAGTTCAATGCCGTGATTCTGAAGAGGTTGTTCATGAGCAGGGTCAACAGGCCCCCTCTGTCACTCTCGCGTCTCGCTGCTCTCATGAAGGGAAAGGTAAGCTGAAATTCGAGACCACTTTGTTAAAAATCATTAATTATGCTGTGTTTGTGTTTGCAGAAGTTAAAATGATTGATATCCTTTCTTGATCTTGTGGGTTTTTTCGTTCTGACTTGTTGGTTTGAAGGAAATTGAGTTTTCTGAGCTAGTTATTGATATGGCAAGTGGGATATTACCTGAAAATTTGACAGTGGTTGATTTTCGTATTGTTTATATGGTTCTGTTGTCTGCAGGAAAACCAAATTGCTGTGTTGGTTGGGACCGTGACTGATGATATTCGGGTCAATGAGGTCCCTGCCATGAAGGTTACTGCACTCAGATTCACTGAGACAGCTAGGGCTAGAATTGAGAAGGCTGGAGGAGAATGTTTGACTTTTGACCAGCTTGCTCTCAGGGCTCCTCTTGGACAGAACACGGTATTGAGCTCGAATTTTCTATTTTTATAATTTTTTATGTTATCTGTTTCTGTTTGTGGGGTTTATCTGAATTTGTAGCTGGGTTTTATCTTAACTTGTAGCTAAAATGTGTTCTTAGGGTGTTTGGAGTGGTTAATTTTGCCTTGTGATCGCAAAATACTTCTATTAAACTTTATGCATATTGGGTTCTTGACTAGATAACTCATCAGGTTTCACGGGATAATAATTCAATGTGTTGTTGGAATTTAATGCAGTTACTTTTATATTTAAAAATATTTTTGAACTTGTGTGCTAGCTTATCTTGTTTCTGTGAAACTCATCTTCCAATATACTAATATTCTTTTGTGTTTGACCATTAAACTCTGGCATCAATGAAAACACATATTATCGGCAACCTTGGAAATATTGGTAACATCAAATTAAGTTTCTAAATAGATGGATTATGGCTTTAGTTATGATGCTGTCTGCACAATTTTGTTTTTGTTATGCTGATAGAATACCTGTATCTCCATTCATATGATTTCTGTGAGCTATGTAAAGTGAACCCATTCTGATAATGGGAACTTTTTTAGATTGCTTAGTCTGTGTTATTACGTAGTGTTGTAGTTTTGGCATACTTTGTCAAAGAACGTATTTGTGGTCTTAAAACATAGCTATAATAATTTCCTCAATAGATATTTATATTGATCAAGATACACTTGTGTTTTCATGCTGGTGCTTATGATTTGGAAATAGTTTTTTTTTTTTGTTTTTGAGTAAATGTGGTTTCAGAATTTGTCGATTGCTAAAAGCTGTTCTTGAATAGGTGCTATTGAGGGGTTCACGTAATGCCCGTGAAGCTGTGAAGCACTTTGGGCCAGCTCCTGGCGTGCCACACAGCCACACCAAGCCATACGTTCGAGCAAAAGGAAGGAAATTTGAGCGGGCCAGAGGAAGAAGAAATAGTCGCGGTTTTAGAGTTTAAAGTCATTTTTAGTTTCTATGTCGAAGTTTGATTATTCTATGTTTGTTGAGTTTCTTTATGAGATATTGTATCCCTTAGTAATGAACTGGCTTGTGTTTCAAATGCTGTTGGATACTTTTGAACTGTTGTTTTGGGTACCATGATAAGATTTTGGATGGATTTTATTTAATTGGAATCACCTTGAACTCAGGGTTTTGTCTATTGATAGCATTGTTTTTAATATCCATGTTTTTCGATGTTTCGAAGTAATTGTGCTCTTGGGTTTTCATCCTCACTTAGTCACTTAGCATAATGGTAATGTTGACAAGGTTTATTTTGCAACCATTTGATCCATTGAGGGATCAAAAGAAGAATATTGAAAACTTAAGTCAATAATTAGAAAACTTGAGCTCTTAGTTTTCTAGATGTGTCCCTATTGAAGTTCTCATACTCGTTAAGCTTTGAGTTTGGCTCGTTGAAATTCAAGTTTGATTCGTTAATGTTAACAAATGCTAAACTTGTCCTTGAATCTTAGCTTGGCTCGGCTTGTTTATGACTAATAGGCACTCCGGTGGGTAGGATTGAACTTCCATGGTGTGACTAAATTAAACGAGTTGTTCGTGAGTTCATCTTGACTCGGCTCGTTTGATAAACGAGTCAAGCTTGAGTTAATTTAAAAGCTCGACTCGATAATACCTGAAAAGATGATTTGCACGTAATTTTCTATAGTTCGAAACTTGTTAAAGATCGATTGCGGTTTGAGTTTGACTCCTTAATATTGACAAACAAGTTGAGGTCGAGCTCGATTATGAATTCGTTAAGGGTTCGAACTCGAGTTCAAATTGACTCGTTTAGACCCTCAATCAGTATTTATAGTTCAACGAGCTATAAATATCCGAGCTCGAGTTCAAATCAACTCGTCTTACACTTGGATCAGTATTTATATAAATATCCGCACATCATTCGAAACCCAAATCGGCAAAATCCTTACCATCATTTCTTCGAGTATCACAGTTCCCACGAATCTCAGCCATGGAGAATATCAAACACAAACACATCCGCACAAACGGCATAAACATCCACGTGGCGGAGATCGGCGACGGGCCCGCCATCCTGTTCCTCCACGGCTTCCCCGAGCTCTGGTACACGTGGCGCCACCAGATGCTGTCTCTATCCTCCAGGGGCTACTGCGCCGTCGCCCCCGACCTCCGCGGCTACGGCGACTCCGACGCGCCGCCGCGGTCCTCCAGCTACACCGCCTTCCACATCGTCGGCGACCTGGTGGGCTTGCTGGATGCCCTGGGCCTGGACCGGGTTTTCCTGGTGGGCCACGACTGGGGAGCCGTCGTCGCCTGGTACTTTTGCTTGCTCCGGCCCGATAGGGTTAGGGCTCTTGTGAACATGAGCGTTGTGTTTCAGCCTAGGAACCCGAATAGGAGGCCCGTGGAGTCGATGCGGGCCATTCTTGGTGATGACTATTACATCTGCAGATTTCAGGCACTGATTTGTTTCATTTGATGCATTTTTCGCAATTTTGCAAAATTTATGCTTGGTTGATAGATATATTTATTTCTTATCTGTAAGAATTCTTATTTCAAGCCTAAGCGTGTCTAGCCATAAATAAATTTTTTGGACTTCGGATTTGCAGACACTCATTTTTCTTATCTATATGCAATTTGTATTATGTTCTCAAATTTTTAGAACTGAAGTAGTTATCTAAATGGAACATTGCTATGAGGGATCTGTTGTTTTGGATTTCAATTATCATGACAGCAATTTATAGTAAATAGTGGCACTTGAGCCACTGGACTCTGCAAAGATGAATTTACTTATTTTTTCCTTCGGTTGGTTTGTTTGTGAGTAGAGCTGTTAAACGAATTGATCCGCTGCTTGAGCTCGAATGAGCCGAGCTCAAATTAGTTGAGGCTCGAACAATGGAAACTTGATATAATTTTCTATAGCTTTGCTTGTTTACACCCCTCTAACTGTGAGGTCAGTAATGGGGTTATATATACTGAACAAAGAGTGTCTGCAAACTCTAGACTAAAGTTATATACAATGGGCTTATATAAATTTTGCTTAAGATGCTCAAAACCATTTTTTATTAGAGTTTTGCTAAACACTCCCTATAAAGCTAATATACAATCTAGCCGTTCAGAGTAATATTTTTGGCTTTCTGAGGATGAGAATCAATCCTTCTTTATAAATTCGTTAATTTTTTGTGGTTTGAATAGCTAGTTGATTGAGTGACTTGCCTGACTGAATTACGTCTCTTCCCATACACATTTACTTTCTCGAAAGTTTTCATCTTTTAGCCATTAAGTTGATGAGTCGATTTTTTCTCATGTAGGAACCTGGGGAGGCCGAGGAGGAGTTTGCCCGTGTGGACACCAAAAGATTGATCAAGAAATTCTTAACGTCAAGAAATCCAGCTCCTCTTCGTGTTCCGAAAGAGGTTGGATTTGGGGGCTCGTCTCAAAAACCAATTACGATGCCCTCTTGGTTATCGGAAGAGGATGTTGAGTATTACGCAAGTAAATTCAATCAGAATGGATTCACTGGTGGACTGAACTACTATCGAGCAATGGATTTGTAAGTGCTTGCTTGTTTATAAATTTTATCACAAAAAAAGCTGACTCCAACTCAAATCTAACTCAACTCTCACTATCCTCAATATTATCAATATAATTAAATAATATCACTCAGTCATTCTTACTCATCACATCAACTTTAATTCACTATTCATCATCTCACACAATTTTAACTACCCATCACTTTTAATGAATTGTCTCCATTTTTTACATCAAATAAACTTTAATTATTTGATTTTAAATATTATTTTAATTTAAATTCAAAATCTCACTCAACCCTAACTCAATCAACTTTTTTAAAATTAACCATAGTCAATCAAAAAAAAAAAAATCTATAATCAAGCATGCCCTAAGTCTTACTCATCACTTGCTCTTATTTTGCTTAACCCTTCTTTTGCTTAATTTTAACATTTTCTTTATCGGCAATGTAGAAATTGGGAGCTCATGGCACCATGGACCGGTGTACAAATAAAAGTTCCCGTAAAGTTCATTGTTGGGGATCTCGACTTAACTTATAATACACCGGGTGTGAAGGAATATATACACAATGGTGGGTTCAAAAGGCACGTGCCGTTTTTGCAAGAAGTGGTTATTATGGAAGGAGTTGCCCATTTTATCAACCAAGAAAAACCAGAGGAAGTTAATCAACATATTTACGACTTCTTTCAGGTATTCTGATGTGTTTTGAGCTCTTATAGGCCAGGTAAAATCTAGTTGGAGTTGATTATAGGCCCACCATATTGTGTTTATATGTTGTATTTATAATGTGTTTTATGGGATTTACGACGATAAACACTGTAATGGTTCGGACCGTAGCCCGTTTGTGTAATGTGAAAACCTACCTTTGTTAATCTCGGAGTTGAACACGTTGTTTGTTTTGTCTGTATGATAAGTGTTGATAACAAATCATGTTACCAAATTGCCCCTTATTTTTAACAAATCAAATTTTGATCNCTCATCACCCAAATCTTGATTGACTTGTTCAAAAAATCAATTTATCTGTACTAGCAATCCAATACATATAATTATGCAAAATTCCCACGTTCTGCCGAACCGAGTCAATAATATTCCTAAAGTCCAACTAATTGGCATAATATTAAACACACCAAACAATCTCTCTCTCTCTCTCTCTCTCTCTCTCTCTTTTCTTTTTCTTTTCCTCAAAGTTTGCTATTCCAGAATGAGTAATTTCAGTCCACATTCAATCCACAACCAAAAGTTCATGTTCTTATCTTTCGTCCTTCTAATTGCCGCCTGGTTTTTCGTCGTTCTAATATTCCACATTTACTCCCGTTGCCACGCACGACTCCCCCTCGAAAGCCAAAGAAGCTGCCGCCGCCACGTCATCGGCTTCGGGGGCCTTCACCCCTCGGCCGTGAATGCACTTCCGACTTTCGTCTACGAATCCAAGGGAAACGAGCCCATGCAATTGGAATGTGTCGTGTGTCTGTCGGATCTTGAGGATGGGGAAATGGGTCGGGTCATGCCCGACTGCAGGCATTGTTTCCACGTCGAGTGTATAGACATGTGGCTCCAGTCCCACTCGAGCTGCCCACTTTGCAGAACCCGGGTAAAGGCCCGGGGTGCGGGCAGCTCGGTTGGGCCCGTTGAGAATTCACATGAAAGCGTTGTGGGTTCGGGTTCGGGTTCGAGTTTTGGGTGGATATTCTCACTTCCAAACCAGGCAATTGTGGTTTGATAATTTTTTTTTTTTAGTTCATATTGTTTGATTTTTCACCAATTTGGTGGAAAATCATCACTATTTTGTATATTTTATAACCATTATGTATATATTTTACTATATAGGGAATGACATTTTAGGAACTAATGAATTGTTCTTCCTAACTTGTTATTTATTTGAAATTTCTTCTTATGTGGGCTTTTTGCTAAAAATTTGCAATTAACCTATAATCTAATTACTAATATCAACACTTGTCTTATAATATATGATTTATTTTAGGAAAAAATAGTCATTTTCAACCCCATTATGAAAATATATGAAGTTTTTCACACCGAGCCCGCTAATAAGTTATTTTTTTCCCTAGAAAGTGCTTCATTATTTTGCGATATGCGACAGTTGTATTATGCGCTTGTGCAACATTTATACGGTCCATCTACATAACCTTTCGCACTTTATGGAGCGAAAAAATTTAAAGTTTCAATACATTGTGTGATTAATATGCGACAAATATGCAATTGATATGCAACATTTATGCGGTACATTCGCATAACCTTCGCACCTTTTGAGGAGAAAATTTTAAATGTTAGCATGAAAAACTTGATATATCGAAAAAGGTTTTTCCTTTTTATTTTATTTGAAAGTACGTATATATGTTGAAAAAAATTGTATTATTGTCCTATGCCTTTGTTTTCATACATTAGTTTTCCTATGCTTTTCCGAAATACGGCAAGGTTCGTGGAGGACCATGCCGTTAACCTAACTGCAGCGGGAACTTTACTGATCTTACACAAAAATACAACTAGTGTTAAATAACTAACAAATGGGAATTTTATCAAGTATTCTAACATACGAGATGAGAGAATAAAGTGCAATTGTAATTCAAATTCAAGGAATATTTCTAATGAAAAAAATTGCACACATCTTTGGTATACATTTCATGTGGTACAAAGATTAGGTCAAAAACCAACATGCTCATTTGCATATAAGAGTAAGCAATGGCCTCATAAATGAACAATCACAAGAATTTAGTTTCAATCGACAAACTAAATTACAACAAAGGTACGCGAGTTACGTCGAAAACAGTCCTCCGGTATAAGGCACCCCAGTCTGTGGCAGCCAATAATCACCGAGCAAAAATGATGACACGGTGAAATTCTCTGCAGTCGTTCGGTTAATCACGTGAAACCCTGGCCACGTCACCCGGGCGCTCGTGTTCGACCCGGGCCCCGTGTTGTTAAACTCGGCGTAGTACGAGGTGTTGAGCGCGAAATCCCCGGACCACACACTCCACCCGGCCGGGTCTATCAAGCTCCCCATGAACGACTCCATGTACACGACCCTAGAGTATTGCTTCCACGGTCGGCCGAGGTAGGTCCGTACGGTGGCGTTGCTGGCGGCGAGGTCAGGTGCGGCGGTGATGTTGCAGCCGTGGACGGAGGTTCCGGTGTTTTGGTTGGGGTCGGTTCGGCCCTGGGCGGTGATGGGGTTGAACTGGCCGGGCAATGGGAGGCGCGGGAGGATGTTGCAGGCTTGGATGACGGCGGCGGCGTTGCCGAAGATGAAGTCGACGGTGCCAGAGATGGTGCACTCGCTGTAGAATTGGCGGAGGGAGTGGGCGTAGAGGGTGTCCTGGTAAGCCTCGAAGCTGCAAGAATAGAAGGCTGAGAGGTCGGCGCCGTTGCGGACGGCCACCGCCTGGGATTTGGCAGGGCCCGCCATGTTGCGGAAGGTGATGTCGGCAGCGATGAAGTTGGGGGCCACCACGGCTGGCGGAGGGAAAACAAATTCGGTTGGTTAGTGAAACAGTCTCTTAGTTTTACAGCCAAGTAATAAATATAATGATGAAATATAAACAAGCCATTTTGCTATGTGAAATGACTCGTGTCATTTGACATAGCAAAATAGTTATTATTTCATACTTCAATAAAAAGTGGCTATTTTTTATAACAAGTCATTTCACATAGCAAAATGACTATTATTCATACTTGAATAAAAAGTGGCTGTTTTTTGTCTTTTTAAAAGCGACATGCCCATTTAATGATATTACCACTTAGTGAAAAGGTTCTAGAATGATTCAATTTTTTAATAGTGAGGGGCATATAATTCATTAAGCACCAAAAATGCACATGATTTTAAAAGCCCATGAAGGCAGCGGCCCAAAGTTAGGTCACCTCTAAATGTGAGAATTTCATCAAGGTAAGACCTTTTAAATGGTTCAAAACATTGAATATCTTCAAACAATTGCAGAAGACATCCTCAAGCTTTCTTCTCTCTTCTCTTCTTGTGATTTTACTAGTGTTGTGGATTTTGTCTAAATGTCTTGTTGTAATGTTTCTGAGGGCATGATCTTTATCATTGTCCGTGTTTTCAAGATGGCTTTTTGAGCTTTGATGAAGATATGTAATCAGTGGATTATACCTATTGTAATTATTTGAGTTTAATTAATGGAAGTTTAATCATACGTTTGGAAAAAAAAAAAAGACCTTTTTAATGGTAACGTTTATAATGGTACTTTCCGTTCCAGGAGTGCATTATACTAAAGAAATTAAATTTAAATTAAAAAAAGATCGTACCACATGGACCAAAAATTTACGTACTAAAAGTTTGGTCTCACAAACTTAAAATCACCATTTTTTTTTCTATTAAATTCGTTTATAAAGACTAAAATAAAATTATTGATGGTACATAGTTGGAGATGCAACGTGAGTACGTGACATGTATTTTTACGTGCTACCAAGTAGCAATAAGTCCTACTTGATATATACACATTTATATATTATAAAAAGAAAAAAAAAAAGGAAAACTAGAACGTTTAATTTACTCACCAAAAGTTGCAGAATTGAAAGTGGTCCATCCATCTCCAACACTACGATTCCCAGTAATAATCGTCTGATTAATCCCATCACCAAGCATCATAAGGTACTTCTTGTTGCTAGCAATGGACACATATTCCTCGTACACACCACCTTTTATGTATATAAGAAAATACCCATTTGTCCCATTCGCATTAGTCGGGGCTGCAGTCAATGCATCGTTAATCGTGCTAAAGTTTCCGGTCCCATCTTTACTAACGATCACGATGTCACTAACTTGAACTTGATTGTTATTGTCGCCACCCGACTGTAACAACCTTCGGTGGCTCACATTTCGGTAGATTTCGAGAGTCTTCCCGTGCATTCGCAGGTTGAACATTCCGTCGATCGATTTCAGGCGTTTCCTTTCGAAATTGGGGAAAATCGAGCTCTTCGTTTTACCCTTCGAAACCCAACCTTGGGTGAACAAAGACAACGACACGCTGTAAAGACGCGTGTCGTTATATAATGGTGTTAGAACGCCGTCTGTGACGCTTTGTGCGGAGTCTATTGATTGGAGGCTGTCTGTGCACGTTTCGATGTTCGTCAGTATCGCGCTTAGTAGGGTTTGGACATCTTCGACTTCGGGATTGGGGAGCGTTTTGGAGTTTCGGTCGATAATTTGAGACGAGCTTGTTAGGTAGTCCAAGTTGGACTGCGCGAGAAATTCACAGTCCTGTAAAGCTCGGATAGCTGGGACAGTTAGGGTTTTTGACTCTCGGAGGTACTTTTGGATGAGGGAGAGGAAATTTCGGGCGGACGTGAGGGATTTGTGGATGGAAAACCGGCCATAGTCGTAGATGTTGGCCGAGGAGTTCGAGTCGGGTAGAATGGTGTTGCAGAAATAAGGATGAGGGGTGGATTTGCAAATTGTGGAAATTGGTGTAGGGTTTGGTGAATTGGGTTGGGAGAAAGCAATAATTGGGAGGATAATGAGGATTGAGAGAGTTGTGAATTGGGAGTATAGAGGGTTTTTGGGCATTGGTATCATCATTGGATTTGATGGAATTTGTGAGATGTAAAAATAAAAAAAAAAATGAAAAAAATATGTGAGTGAGTTTAGTGAATTATTAGTTGTGATGACTTTGTGGTTGTGTGGATTTATATAGGTGACATAGGAAATGCATGTAGTGCTATTTTAACTTTCAATTTACTGTATTTATTTTGGTTAAAGAAATGGCAATTTGGATGTGGAAAATGTTATTTTTGACAGTCAACGCCCTATTGGGCTCTTACTCAAAGCGCGTTACGATCTCGATCGACGATTTCTGCACTTCTTTGGGCTAAGTTGCGTTTTTATAATAGTTTGTGCTTGTTTGTAATTGTTATGTGGTGGCCTGGTGGGAGTGTATATTATTAGAATAATATACATTTTAATGTATATAAATCAAAGTCAAGAGCATGTTGTACTGTACATTTAAGGTTGTTCAGGAGTTTAGTTAGCTGCCATTTATAAATTCAATTCCTAGTTTTTTTTTTTCGTTTTTTGTTTTAATTCCTTGGTTTAGTACTTTATTTAAGATACATCCGTATTTTTTATGATATATTGAAACTTAGTAATAGATAATTATATACTACGTGCTGGGATGATTGTGTACCAAGAAAATTTAAATGATTAGGCATGTTGGAGTATGAAATTATGTATCTCAGTTTGAAATACATGTAAGTTGAGTATATAGAATGAGATTTTTTATAAAGCTCGAGCTTATCTCATTAGCTTTTTTGGATAACTTTTTTAAATAAATTCGTTGAAAATTTTATTTCAGCTAGCTTATTAGCTAATTTTACCAAACACTTTTATCATATAACCTAACTTTTCTGTCATAATCATAAGCCATAAGCTCAAAATTTGCTTAAAAGTTATGAGCTAGTTTATTAATCAGGTTTACCAAACATAGCCTTAAAGATATCAACTTGAAAACAAGCTGTAGCGAAAAAGTACAAATTGTATTTTTTTTCTTCTATCTATGGAAATAGATCTTTGTTAGATCCTTCCTGAGCGTAAAAAATATTATGGAAAAAAATAGGCTTAATTGCTAATAAAACTATGACCTTTTCGGAATTTGCAATTATATGCACTACTTTTAAACTTGGCAAATATATACACCACTTTGACAATTATTGGCAATTCGAATCACCGGGCCAATTTCGGGCTTTGCCTGTTGACATGGCTGCTGACGTGGCATTTCTGTTGACATGGCTGCTGACATGGCAATTTTCGGACTTTTACCATTTTTTGTACTTTATTATCTTTTATTATATTTTTTTTTTAATTTTAACTGGTGTACTTTAATCTAGTTTATTTTTTAATTTAATTTTATCATTATTATTTTTTATTTCCTAATTTATGTAATTAATTTTATTTTGATAATTAATAAATATAAAATTTTATTTACATTAAATGCACTATACTATAATAAAATCTATGTTACTTTATTTTAATTTTTCTATTTAATAGTATATAATTTATTTTATTATATTTTAATTATTATAAGTTTATATCTTATTAATATAATTTACATTATCTTTAAAACTTAATTATATTTATTCATACTTAGTGTCTATATATATTAAACGCTATTAAATTTAATATAGAATTTGGACTGGTGTGGTGGTTACAATGCCTTCATGCAACCTAAAGGTCTGAAGTTCAGCCATGTCAGCAAAAAATCGCCAGTCATTAGGCACGTTAGCAGACAAACCCCGTCGAATAAAAAAATAAACATCTCTAAATGTAGTTTTTGTTGTAGTGAAGGCCGAAATTGGGCCATGTACATCTATTTGCCAACAATTGTCAAACTGGTATATATATTTGTCAAGTTTAAAAGTGGTGCATATAATTATAAATTACGAAAATCTCATGGTTTTATTAGCATTAAGATAAAAAAAAATATATTATTATCAACTAATGTAAATCTATTGGATATAACATTGTACTAATAATTAATCTCAGCCCAGTTCAAAGATGGCCCATCTAAGTTCTATAAAAGCAGTTGTTTTCGTCTATCCAAGCCCACCAAGAGCCTGTACATACTTTTTTGCTTAACATCCATTGACTAATCGTATAAATATAACAATGCCTGGCCATGCATGTTGCCATGTGGATCTGACTTGTTGACAATATCTAAAAACAAAAATCTTTTTGTGTGAAACCGCTAATCGTTAGACTAGTCCATTCGTCGTACAATCTATCATTATATAAAAAGAATAACCTTTTTACAAATTTAGAAACCTTTTCCCGCCAAAATCATTCAATATATCCTATATATAGTAATTATTGGACAAATTTGAATAGGCATAAAAATCCGCTCATTAATTGTGTAGATTTGTTTCTCTTTTTCCTGTTTCTTAGTTTATCGTTTTGACAATAAATATTTGTTTTTCTTTTTCCTATTTTTAGTATAAATCTACACGAGCTTATCTCTTCTGTTACAAAATCTCATTGCATACGTCTTACGTGTTTAAAAAATCTCATCCCTTATCTATACAGATTTGAAAAAATAAATAAAATAGAAACCAATTCATAATTACTACTAGAAATTCATTATCTTTAAAAAGAAAAAATAAAATAAAATAGAAACCAATTCATAATTATTACTAGAAATCCATTATCTATTTTAAGAAGCTAATTTTCATCGGTCTAATTACTAATATTTTTACAAATATTCTAAGCTAACCATACAAAAAAGTATAATAAAAATTTTGAAATGGTGTGTAATCAATTTATATTCTCTTATACAAAATAATTTTACATTGTTTGACCCCGAATCTTTAGTTTATAATTATTATGTATTATTTATCCTCCTCTTTTATTTATAATTATTTTTTTTCTTCCTCTTTTTAAATAGGATCAATAGTAATTTCACTTCCGCCATTGACTCAAACTCGAGGTCTATTTATAATATTGTTAATTTAATATTGTTACCGTGCATCGCACGGGGTACACACTAGTTTTAACAAAAACGTATACTTATATTATAAAATGTCATATTTTTATTTATATATTGAAAATATATATATATCTATTGAAAAAGTATCTCACAATAATCTTATTGAACTAGAAAGTTTATGGAGTACGATTGGTGCATATATACATGTTCACAAATTGTCACAAATAATTATCATGTGACTAACAGCTGAACGGTTAAACAAATTTATTTCGTTATAGTTTTTGAATAAAAATGCATACAAAGTTTGTCAAATCCCATTTATTTAATTATTTTTATAATGTAAAATATGTAATTTGGGTATGAAATTATGTATCTCTGTTTGAAATACATTATACATTTCTATCTCACAATTAGATTTTTTAACGGCATGTTTAATTTGTTTGTTTAATAATAAGGATTAAAATGGACCATTTTTCACGTTAAGAGCAAAGAGGCAACTTCGTGTTTTGTTCGGACATGCAATTTGTTTCTGTATATTAATATACAACATATGAACCACGATGTAAGCAATATTCACGCCGACTAATCTAATCACTTTGTTGCTTCAAGCAATTGCATATTTTATATAAATATTTTCCCGTACGTTATTTATTTATTTATTGGAATTATAAGGTATACAAACGCCGAGTTCAAAAATAAAATGATAGTTTAGATTGAAAAATCTCATAAAACTCACCGGCATCTTCACTCTATGGTTCATATCTCTTTCTTTCTTTTTTCCNAAATTTATTACAATCGTTAGTCGAGTACACATGTGCCAACTACTCGACAAGTACAACAATGGACGAGAATAAAATGGTCAGAAACACAACAATGCATAGCTTGGCAAATGATAGGCCAAAGAACCATGAGCATGAGAGTGACGACACCACGGATAGTATCGCTATTATTGTTATTATCCGATGTGTCGAATTCGCGAAATGAAAATCCTTCGACATTGCCAGCTCATCAGCCACGTACTTCTTGATAAAACCCTCTACAATTTTATTGCTTTCTGTTTGGTTATGATCTTGAGGATCGTGGTCGAATTTTTTGATCGATTTATCCTCTCGACTCTTACCGCCAACTTCTCGAATTTTTTGGCCGTTATCTTTGGATTTGCTTATTTCTTCGACAAAATTATCCTCTGTTTTTGCATTTGTCTTAGGTTGTAAGTCCTCAATTTCTGCTACAATGTTTGTCTCGACTTGGTCTTGAGTAACTTCAATGTCTTCAAGTGGAATAATTTCTGCCTCAACTTCCTCATCAGTGTCTTCTTCAAGATCTTTTTTTTGGTTGGCTTTCACTTCAATGGATTCGTTAGAAATTAGCTCGAGCTCAACTTCCTCTTCACTGTCTTTCTCAAGACCTGTTTTTTGGTTGGTATTCACTTTAATGGATTCATGGGAAATTAGCCCGACCTCAACTTCTTCTTCATTGTCTTTCTCCAGATCTTTTTCTTGGTTGGCTTTCACTTCAATGGATTCAAGGGAAATTAGCTCGACGACCTCAACTTCCTCCTCTTCAATGTCTTTCTCGATATCTTCATTCTTATGGTCATTATTGTTTTCAAGGGAAATTAGCTCGAACTCAACTTCCTCTTCAATATCTTTCTCACTATCATCATTCTTGTGGTCTCTCTCAACTACACATTTTTCAAGGGAAATTAGCTCGAACCCAACTTCACCTTCAACAACTTTCTCAAGGTCATCAACATTTTTGTGGTCTTTCGTAACTTGAGTATTTTTGGACAAAATCATCTCTTCTCTAACCTTTTCCAACAATCCCGTGTCTTTCAAATCGGGAAAGATTATGCAAGCTTGTTCATCGTTCTTATCATCAAGAAGAACTTCACCTTCATCCACCACCACATCAATTAGGTCCTCGCATTTTTCTACCACGATTTTCTTTTCATCACATTCTTCATGTTCTTTCCTAACCAAATGCCCCTCAATCTCAAAACACACATTATCCAACCGGCATTTTTCCTCTTCCTCGTTCACATTTTCCCCTTCATCCAATTCTCTCATCTCCAAATCCATTTCCTTATCGACTTTCTTTTCCGACTTCTCATCGTCAACAAGAACTTCACCTTCATTCACCACCTCAATTAGGTCCTCGCATTCTTCTACCACGATTTTCATTTCATCACATTTTTCATTTTCTTTTTCAACCAAATGCCCCTCAATCTCAAAACACACATTATCCGCCTTTACAATCTCCAAAATCTCAATGGGCAACCGACATTTTTCCTCTTCCCCATTCGCATTTTCCCCTTCATCAAATTCTCTCGACTCCAAATCCATTTCCTTATCGACTTTCTTTTCATCAATCATCTTATCCACTAAAATTACCTTAACCTCCTCACGGTTGAACCACACCACATCACTTTCTTCTAGGTTTTTTACTTTCCGAGTCATCTCATCAATAGATTCACTTTCTACAAAATCTTCATCAACAAGAACTTGCTCGGATAACCGAGCTGTTACTTTGCCTTCATGCATAGTATCATGAGACTCGTTTTGGGATTTCTTTTCAGACAAATGATTTTTTTCCTCGACCATGATAGAACCATTACAGGTGGTACAGGTTTCCAGCTTCTCGGGAGTAACCGGACATAGACTTTCTTCGCTCGTCTCTATGTCCGGTGTTCGATTGCTGATTTGTTCTGATTTGGATTTCTCATTCTGTACAAATTTAATTGAATGAATAAATTCTAACAAAATAAATACTGCACATGAACATATATATAGATGTAGCAGTTGACCTTTTTTTTTTTCTTTTAATGAAAAAACACAATAAATATACATAATTATTGCAGTATCTAAATTAATATAAAAAAACAATGGAACAGAGTTTTTACCAGTGTTGAGCTCAGCTTAGTATCATTATCAGATTTAATCGGTTCACCTCTGCAAATTCAAACAATTCACCATATTCAATAATAATAATAATAATAATAATAATAATAATAATAATAATAATAATAATAATAATTTTTCAGAGGAAAAATATAGAAATTTCACGAACCTTGGATGGTCATCAACCTGTGAAGGCTCAGGTGCCGGACCGCGGCGGCGGCGGCGGTCTTTGCCGGAGCTCCAGCCGTTTTTGCCGACCACGAAGGCGGAGGCCAAGGCGGCTGTGGCCAACGCGCCGCCCAACACGACGACGGCTCCGATTCCTCCACCACCAACCAATTTTATGGCTATTTTCTTCTGCTCAAAATTTCCCTTAGATTCCTCCATTCTTTGATGCGATTTTCGTTTAATTCTATCACTGTGTGCCACAGTTTATTTATTAATTTTAAGCCTTTACCCTTTATTAAGGGAATTATATGAAGCTCACACTGAAGGTGTGTGCGATGAGTGAGGGAGTTGTGGTGTTTACTGGTTCTTTTCGGAGTGTGAAGCGGATGTCTTTTTCGATAATTTCTATTTGTTTACTTTTTATTGCCCTTTTTGTTTTATTTTCATTTTATTGTGGGGTTAGAAATTAGTTGAGCTTACAGANTTTATCATAGCTAAAATAAGATTACACTGTGCATCATTTATATGTTCTTGATTGTGAGGTTAAATTTAAATTTTAACATTTGTATATACTTTCAAGCTGAAAAATTAAAAAACGTATGTAAACATATTGTTATTTTTAAACGTAATGTTATTTCATAACATAAGTATTTTTGTTAATAGTTGATCTCCGTACTGATTATCTTCCTCATACCAAAAATATATTGTGTTAAGAGTATCATTATTTAAAATATTAATGCTCCAATGAAAAGGATTAGGAACTTCATGCAACAAACGTGGGAGTTTATATAATATCTTACAATATTATAATATGACATAAACTTAGCCATCTTACAATGAATATAAATATAATATATATGTAGCATGCTACGTTGTTTTATATTTTACATTACTTTCAAAATCAAGAATAATTGAGCTTTCATATCATTTGATGTCAATTTTATTATATAATATATGTCAAAAATAGCTTTTTAAAATCAAGAATAAGTAAAATTTCGTATCAATTGTTCAACTTGATTAGAGGAAAACAAGCATGCTTGAGAACAACTATATATAATTGGACTTGAATTAATACGAGTAATTCAAAAAATACGAATATAAGCAGTTCAATGAAAACTTAAACCTACAAATTAAGGTTAAGAGTCTCACGCTCGATCGACTTGCTTTTCAACTCGAATACTCGAGTCAAATATTTGTTATAAAATTTGGAAAAGAAATGTCTGTCTCTCATTTTCTTATTATTTTCCTACTTTCAGTTTAAGTATTTAACTGATGAAAATGAAATTGCATGGCCTTCAAGTTTAAAATGAATGGTACTCCTTTTTTTGCCAATTCTGATTATGGGGTCTAATTGCCTTAGTATGCTGACAAAAATTCAATATTTCTGATAAAACAAAACTATGAGATGATAGATGTGGGACAGATAATCATATCTGACTATAAAGTATTTAAGTTTATGATTAATTCATATGCATATTCAATTATTTGACTTTGTTATGTAATTGGAGCCTAATATTAAGAACACTTATTCTAGCCGCAAAGAGAAGTACGCATAGAACTCGTGGCTTATTAAAAACCTGGAAAATATTAAGGTCCCGTTACGGGATGGTTCCTTCACTGTTTTTCACCATTGGATACACATGTAGATTATGTTGTGTGGATAATCTACGGTGAAAAATACTGACTGAACCATTCCGTCAACGGGACTGTAGTCATCCCCTAAAAACCTGTCAACTATTATTTTGTTTTGAATTTTTTTGTGACAAAGACTGATTGTATTTAGTTGGACTTCCAATAAGTCCAAACCTTATGGGGCTATGATTTGGCAAAAGAGTAGTATCCATTGGGCCTAGTTAAAAACCAATAACGTACAACTGAGCCCAAAATTTTGTAGTGTTAGCAGACCATTGGGTAATTCGTAATCGAGCTTTCAGCAGACAGTTAGTCCATTTCCGAATCTAGATTTAATTTTATAGATTGGTGCATGCATAACACGGATAATTTAAGTAAGAGTTTGCTCTGTCAACTCGTTGAACATCAAAGGCTACTTTATTATCCTACACAAACATGCAAGAAAAATGCACCCAAAAAAAAAGCATATAAAAAAAATTACAAACGAGAGGAAACAAAATAAATAAGTAAACAAATATACAACTTGACAGTCACTCGATAAATATGAGTTTGAGTAATTTTGTTGATATCATAACATAACTATTGGTGTATCATGTAGTTAAATTAAATGTCATATAAATTAATGAATAATTGTCATGCCATAAGACTATATGACCTGTGAAACGAAATGACTGTTTCAGATTGCGACTCGGTACTGTTTGTATGATAATTGTACCAAGTTCAAACTTAGTTCAACTAGTTAAATTTAAAGGATAAAGATTTCTATGCTAACTAAAGTTCAAGTTTGACTCGTTAAGATTTGAGTTCAACTTGTTAACATTAATAAACAAGTCAAGTTTGAGCTCGTTTACATCTCTAAACCTAGCCCATCTACTCAAATGGTGATTTTTCACAATGGATTTGGTTCTGAGTCGTTATATCAACAAATAACCGTTAGGTATTGCTCGTATATATGATCCAACAACTCAGACTATTGCCCAGTATGGTCGATTAATCTGAAAATGGGTCTAAATTGAAATTAAATAAGTATTAGTTATACATGAGTCACCCTTTTTCTTATTCAATTAATTAATATGATTTATATGCACATGTACAATAGTTGGTCTCAAAAAAATTCGAGAAAAGAAAACATTCAAAACATGCACAGCAATATATTTACAGAGTCAAAAGAATTTGAGATTAATTTAGAAACAAAAGTAAAACAGCTACAACCCAAGCCTCAGTCAAACAACACAAAAGTAAAAAAATAAGGCAAACACCTCGAAACTGTCTTTTATTCTTACTTTTATTCACTATTAAAATTTACCCACTCCCAACTTTGCTATATATATAAAAACCTCCCCTTCCAGTTTTTTCACGCAGCCAAAAAAATACAGATAAAATAAAATTCTCCAAAAAAAAATTCTCTTTATATATTCCAAAAAAAAAGTTAAAAAACAAGAAAAAAAATGTGTGGTGGTGCAATACTCGCCGGCATAATTCCTCCACGCGGTGTCTCCTCCGGCGACCTGTGGCCCTCGTCGGCCGATTTCTGGCCAGCCGCTTTGGACTCAGGTGATCCTCCGGTGAAAAGGCCCCGACCCTCCAAAGGTGATTATTCAATCGGCCTTGTAATTTCTATTATTGTTTTTAGTTTTTGCTTTATAAATGTAAAAAATAATTTTATGCTTGTCTATCTCAAAACTTTGATTATATATTCATTTATTTGAATTCTTAGAATGAACATTGTTTAATTTGAACAAATAGGTATAATTTCAAATTGAAATATTGGACATTTGTAATAACAATCTTCAAATTTGATTGTTGGGCAAGTCCACAAAGTATAGAAATATGATTTTGACATACTTAACGTATAAACATGTATTATTGTTCAAAAAGTATAACAATTAGGCATTGTCACGCAAAAATATGTGAATTTGACAACTATTTTTTTTTTTCCCACAGCTGCTGATGAAAAAACCGAAAAAAACGAGAAGAAGAAACAGAGGAAAAATCTGTACAGGGGAATAAGGCAGAGGCCGTGGGGTAAATGGGCCGCTGAGATCCGCGACCCGAGAAAAGGGGTTCGGGTCTGGTTAGGCACTTACAACACCGCCGAGGAGGCCGCCCGAGCCTACGATCGGGAGGCTCGTAAAATCCGAGGCAACAAGGCCAAGGTCAATTTCCCCAACGAGGACCTCGATTGCCGCCGCCGGAACCCTAATTCCGGTGAACCCGAGCGCTGCCACGAGCTAATTGAGCCCGCGGGATTCGAATTGAAGCCTGAGGTGGGTGGGGATGGCGGCGGAGGTGCGGTGGCGGCGGCTGATTTTGCTTCGGCGGCGGCGGAGGAGGAGAACGAGGTGGAGAGGATGACGGAGGAGCTGATGGCGTACGAGGACTACATGAGGTTTTATCAGATTCCGTATCTGGACGGGCAGTCGACGGCGGCGGAGGCGGAGGCGGCGGCGGCAGCTGGGATGGGTAATCCGGCGGCGGGGACGGTGGAGCTCTGGAACTTTGGTGAAGTCTCCAGCGAAGTGTAGGGGGTTTGTTTTGTCTTTTTGTGGTTCTAATTGCTTTTTT